AACAAAATCTTTCTCAACTTCACATACCTGGCTGAATTCTATCTCTGTTCTGCATCTCTGTTTTTCACCTCTCACTACCTACCTACTATCCATCCATCCATCATCATATCTACCTACCTATTTTCTGTCTGTCTGTCTCTCTACGAAGCTGTGCTTCTCTCTGGGTACCAGCTCCATTCCATTTTGCTTTTCTCCATTCCGTGAGCTTTTCTGTACATGAGAGGGCAGAGCCTCAATCCTCTTTGTGGTAGTTACATAATTTTGTGTCAACTTGAAGTGTAGCGGTGGAGTCTAGTCTGTGGATCAGGTCACAGCCTAATAGTCCCTCCTTGTGGGTGTGACCTCCTCCTAAGGAGGGTCATGGGAACCTCCCCAATTCTCTCTGCCTTCACCTTGCTGATGACAAGCCATGAGGAGATCTGCATCAGTTCTGTGATGCTTCCACCGCCGCCATTGGATCCACAAGACTTTGCACCCACTGGCCTGTGATCTTCCTGCATTTTGCATCATTGCTCGTGGCTGCGTGAGTCTGAAGAGGGACTTATGGACTGGTTTTGGACTTATAGACTTGATCTGGACTAGGATGGGATGTTTTTCTGATATAAAATTACTTCTTGACATAAAGGTCTTTCTTATACATGTATGAGTGTCAATGGATTTGCTTCTCTAGTCAACCCAGCTTAACATGCTCTTCCATTGCATGTCCTTCTGGTTCCTGAGTCATGCATTCAAGAACATGCTTCCCACCAGATCCAATCAAAAAAGTCCTTGAACCTGTGTCCCACGCCCCTCTGGTTCCTGGATCAATCCCTGTGGCCAGCATCACAGCCCCTCTCCGTAGTAAAGGGGGCAAAGCATGATTTCTGGAAGTTCGACAGGAGTCATGTGATGAAAGTGAGGCAGGAACAGGCCCCAGTAAAGGGGTTGCTCTACTGGGCACGGGAATGGATGAATGTCCTCGATGAAGGGGTCAGGTGTCAAAGAGCTGGCTGCCATCAACTTGGCCCAGGAATGACCTAGAAAGAATTTGGCCAAGTGGCTTGTTTGCTGAGCAGCTTATCTCCTCCAAGGTAGGAGGCATCAGGGCATACCGGCAGGCCTGGGGAACCACGGCTGAGGTGCCCACTTTGCCCCCAAAGAAGAGTCCATTTCAGCTCATCTGCTGACCTCTCCCGGCTTGGATCCACAGGCCTTGCAGAGGAGTAGGCTGGGGTAATAGAGGGGTGCTGGCTCTGGCTGCTGCCTCCCCTGGCATCAGAGCCCTGCTATCTGCTCAGCAGGGGGTTGTGCTTTGTCAGCCTTGAGGCTTGGTCCACATAATGTGGGAACTGCTGAAAAGCATGCCTGTGGCCAAGGATGAAAGTCCACACACAGACCACCAAGCCTAGTTGTAGGTCACAAGCTGGGCTCTTCTCTCTTCCTTGTGGTTGTGGCCACACCATGTTGCCGCCTGGTTGGCCACTTCCTTAGACAGCGATTCTCAACCTGTGGGTCACCACTTCCTTTGGGGGTTGAATGATCTTTTCACTGAGTCATAACAGTAGCAAAATTACAGTGATGAAGTAGCAACGAAAATAATTTTATGGTTGGGGGTCACCACAACATGAGGAACTGTATTAAAGGGTTGCGGCATTAGGAAGGTTGAGAACCATTGAATCCTGATCTCCATAAAAAAAAGTACACCCACCAGGGCTGATTGGTACCAGTGTGATCCGTGGGAGGAGACAACCTTCTAGCAAGGGACAGCTGAGCACCAGGGGTGCTATGAGCTTGATTAGAATAGGTAATTGACTTTATTTGTAGCCTGAGCCAATCAGTCAGATAGGATCCACAGACTACGCACCAGATCAGTGGCCACCTCTGCCCAGGCTTCCAAGTGGGCTATGCACAGTGATGAGGGCAGTGGTGGTTCAGTGATAGAACGCTTGCCTTCAACCCAGAGAACCAGGTTCAATTCCTGGGTAGTCCATCTCTTGTGCAGCTGCCACCCATCCATCAGCGGAGGCTATGATGTGGCTGTGAAGTTGAGCAGGGACCTGCACCATTTCTAGACTAAGATGGCCTGGGAAGCAAGGTGTGGTGATCGACTTTGGAAAATCAGCCGATGAGAACCCTCTGGCTGAGACCAGTGTGCCCATGAAATCAACACAATCCAGGGGCTGATTCAGGAACAGTCTCGGTGACATTTGCTCTATGTGTGTAGTTAGGGACCGTGGTGTTGGCTCCAAGTCACAGGGACCCAGCCTCTGAACAACAGACCAAACTGTCATCCTCACAAGCGTGCCGAAGTTCGAGCCCCTTGCTGCGGTTGCTATGGTGATGCGGTTGCTATGGTGATGCGTCTAGTGGAGGGCCATCCTCGTTTTCATCGGCCTTCAGCTTCACCAAGCATGATGTCCTTCCCCAAGGACTGGTCTCTCTTAATAGGTCCAAAGTTCTGAGATGATGGAGTCTCACCGTCTTCACTCTGAAGAGCATCCTGGTCACACTTCTTCCAGTACTTGTTTCTTTGTTCTTTATTTTTAATTGATCACTTGATTGGGGGGCTCTTACAAATCTTATGACAACCCATCCTTCAACTGTATTAACCACATTTGTACATATGTTGCCATTGACATTTCCAAAATATTTGCTTTCTATTTGAGCCCTTGGTATCAGCTCCTCTTTTTTTCCCCTCCCTCCCTCACCCTCGTGAATCCTTGATCAATTATATATTATTGTTATTTCGTGCCTTACACTGTCTGTTGTCTCCCTTCACCCACACTTCTGTTATTTGTTCCCATGGAGGGGTCCCCCCTTTCTCTCCCACCCATGCCGCCCCCACTGTCCCCCTACCCTCATGATGTCACTCCTCCCACTACCGTTCCAGAAGGTTTTATCTGTCCTCAATTCCATGCGTCAAGAGCTCTTATCTGTACCAATGTGTGTTCTCCCGTCTAGCCGGATTTGTAAGGTAGAACTGGGTCATGGTGGGGGTGCGAGTAGGGGTTAGGAAGCATTCAGGAACTAGAGTAATGATGTGTGTTTCGTCGGTGCTTTACTGCAGCCTGGTTGAATCGTCCCTTTCTTGTGACCCCTCTGTGATTTCTTTGGCCTAACGGCAGGACACGCTATAATCCACATTCTCCGCCATCGTTCCATCATTCGTCATCTCCAGTCCTTTGTCAGTCTTCCTTCTGCACTGTCTGCTTTGCTAGGCTTCCGAGGCGATTGAAACTACCATGACCCGGGCCAGGTGCACCTTAGTCCTCAATATGATGACACCCTTGTTTTGAACGCTTTTCAGAGGTCTTTGGTGACGGATTTCCCCAATGCAGTAAAGCATTTGCTTTCCGAACGACTGCTTCCAGGAGCAGTGATTGTGAACCCAAGGACAAGGAAACCCTTAGTGACTCCATCTTTTCTCTGTTAATCAGACTAGCCAGTCGGTTCCATGGTGAGGAGTCTGCCGAGGTGCAGTCCAGGCTGAAGGCTGTGGTCCTTGGTCTTTAGCAGCAAGTGCTTCATGTCCTCTTGCTTTCAGCAAGCCCAGTTGTGTCATCTGCATATCACAGGTGGTCAACGAGCCTTCTTCCAACCCTGATGCTGCGCCATCCTTCTTCGCATAATCCAGTCTCTCAGATGATATGCTCAGCATACAGATCAACTACATGTGCTGAAAGGAAACAACCCTGACTCACACTTTGCTGATTTTAAGCCGCGCAGACTCCCTGGATCTGTCTGAACACCCTCTTGGTCTATGTATCGGTTCTGCAGGAGCACAAAATTAAATGGAGTCCCCGTTCTTTGCAGCGTTATTCACAATGTGCTATAATCCGCAGAGCCGAATGCCTTTGCATCGGCAATAAAACACGGTACGCCTCTTTCTGGCTTTCTCTGCTTTCAGCAAGATTCATATGATATCCCTTGTTCCAAACCCTTCTGAATCCAGCTCACATTTCTGACAGCTCCTTGTCGGTGTACCGCTGCAACGGTCTTAAAATTATTGTTGGCCAAATTTTACTTGCAGGTAAAATGAATGATATTATTTGTTCATGCCCACCTTCCATTGACTCTTTTTCTTGGAACTATCATGAGCAGAGCATGGACCTCTCCCAGTCGGACAGACTGACAGACCAGTGGCGGTTATGTGCTTAGGCCAATACTTTTATGAACTCTGTGACCTCCGTCTGGTTGTGTGTCCGTTGGTTTTGGTGTCAATGTGCCTGGGCCAGGATTCTCAGTGGGTTTGGCAGCTGAGACCCAGTAATGCGCCACGATGTGAACGATCACAATGCAATCACCTCCAGAAGGGGATGTTCTATGAGCCGCCTATCAGACGAAAGAAGATGAAGATACGACACCCTTACTCAGGTCACAGCCCTGCTGTAATCAATAGACATGACATTTCTTTGGGGCGTGGGCCTGCTTCCAATACAAGTGGAGGCTGTAGGAAATCTTACTTGCTTTCTGCTGGGCTCGGTCTTGCAGCTGACTCCTCTAGTTCCAGTTCTTTGCCCTTGAACCAGAGGCCTGCCATATTGCCTGCTGGTCCTGGAGGCATCAGTGGCCTGTCATCTGGTCTACTAACTGAAGAGTCATTCACCTCTGCAGCCACAAGCCTGTCCTGCTGACCGGGGACTCACTGGCCTACCTCTGCGGCCACCAGCCGGTCATCTTCCAATTGTGGGTTCACCAGCCCCTGCAGCTCTCTAAACCAAGCTCACTAAATCAGGCTACCATCTGACCCTTTGACTTGGAATCTGCCTGGACTTGGGTTTTCCACCTCTACAATCACGTGAGCCATTTTCTTGATGTGAATTTCTAGCCTCCACTCAAAACCAAACCCACTGCCATCGAGTGGATCCCAATGCTTTGCGGCCCTATAAGACAGGGTAGACCTGCCCCTGTCAGTTCCCAACACTGTAAGCTCTTTAGGGGAGTAGAAAGCCCCATCTTTCTCCCGAGGAGCTACTGACTGTGCAGTCAGTAGCCAAATGTGTCACCACTGTGCCACCAGGGCACGGGCAGGGTCCTCCCTCAGAGGAAAGCACCGGCCCTGCTGCCTCCTTGTCTCCAGACCTCCAGAACCTAGAGGCAATAAACACCTGGTGTTTTACCTCACCAAGCCCACAGCCACCGAGTCATTTCCAACCACCGACAACCCCAGGTGTTCCGGTGGCATTTCTCTCTGTGTAGACACGCAAGCTTCTCTGGTCTTGCTTCTTTAGTTAAGAACCCACCCTTCAACATGTTGTACGCTAGCCACAAAGCCTAGCTCCCTGAGCCCTCAAGGTAAGGCCCAGCAGTTTCAATCTGTGCAGTGTCCTCTGGTTCTCCCGGGCAAGCACAGAAGTCAGGGGACCTTGCCCTGTGCCCCTCCCTTTGTGCCCAGGGCTGCCCCTGGCCTCTGCAGAGACATAGAGGAGGTGGGGGTTGAGGACTCCACCCCCAGCCTGGGGCCTGCACACGGAGCCAACCAGGAAGGGAAACTCCCTCCCTGAGCAGATTCTTGGCTGCCCACTGCAGGAAAGAGGAGGCTCCTGCAGGCCAGACAGACAGCCTGCGGATGGTTTTCCCCAAGGACTTTCCCACACCCAAGGAAGCTGGGCAGGGCGGTAGCTGGAGCAGAGCTCTGGCCCAGGTCAGGAGAGCAAGTTGGTGGGGGCCCCACTGCCCCTGTGCACAGTGCTCTCAGGCCTGCTTTTCCCTTGGTTCAGTGGGTTGAAATGTGTCCCCCAAGATATGTCCAAATCCTGACCCTGGAGTACCTGTGACAGTGGCTCTCTTTGGAAAGATGATCCTGCCTGAATTCAATGACAGGCCCTTGTCAGAGACAGGAAAGGGGTAATAGAAAGACACCCAAAGGCAGAAGCTGGAGATGGGGTGTCACACCCCCAGCCCAAGACCACCAGAAAGCATGGAGGGAGGTATGGGAAGGGTCCTCGCTCAGAGAAAAAAACCCAACCCTGCCGACCCTTTGCCTTCAGGACTTCAGAGCCGAGAACTTGGAGAGAGTAAATGCCTGGTGTTCGAAGTCACTGAGCCCACGGATATCGAGCCGTGTCCCACCCCCAACAAGCCCCTCTGTCTGAGCAGAACCGTGTGTGCCCCAAAGCGTGCCAGTGGCTGGGTCACCAGGCCTTTTCCCCTAGGGGCCTCAGGGCAGACTCACACCCCAACCTTCCCCGCTAGCAGCTGATCATGGGCGCCGCTTACACTGCCGCCCGGGGACAGGAGGCTGGAATCCCATCTGGGCTGACATCTTTTCTGAGCCCTGGGGTGGTGAGGGGGCAAAGCCAGGGGCTGGGGGGAGAGGCTGGTACAGAGCACATGGTCTTATACATCAGAACAAGGGACACTGGTGACAAGTGCCATCAAGTTGATGCCAGCTGGTGGCCACCCCACCCTGCCTGACAGACGGGAACTTCCCAAATGCCAGCTGCTGTGGTTTCTGCTGCAACCCTTCATTGTGCTGGACCGGCCACTCACCTGCTCATGAGAGGTCGGCAGATCAAGTCACCCCAGCAGCTCGGCCGGAGGGAGAAAGCCAACCCTGTGGATCTGCTTAGGTTAAGATGACCACCAGCAGCCTGGGCCGTTCTACTTGGCTGCAAGTAGTCAGAACGGCCAGGGTTTTTCTTCCGTGGCACCACGCAGGGCGGGTTCAGGCCAGCAAGCTCTAGGGGAGCTGGAGTTGGGGGGTAGGGGGAGGTCAGATGCTTGCAGGCATCCTCCCTGAGGGCAATCTGCAGTGGGCCTGCTCCCTGCTGTTAAAGACAATGGACAGGGTTGCAGCCATCTACAGTATTTGGTTCCTGTAGGTGGGGTTTACACCCTACTGATATGGTTCCTATGGAGACCCAGAGAACAGGTCAAAGTTAAGCTGCCATCCTAAATCTAGGATCCGCCCATCTTGTCACATGTATACCCCCAACCCCTCCTCTTTAGACCACCCCTTCTCATTGCTGTATAACCTATAGTGCAACCCTTTCCTGTGACATATGTCTTTACCTGTAACTAGTGGGCTTTCACACCCCCAAAAGATATATAGGCCTGGGTTAGCAATAGAGATCCCGTTCTCCCTCCCTGGCCTCTCGTCGGCTCGCCCCCCTCCCCTTGTCCTCCTTCCCTTCCCCCTCTCTCCACATGGACCACCAAGCAGGTCTGAGGTGAACAATGCTACCCTGAATTGTGTCTGACTCCATTATTTGACCCTCTCTTCTATCACTCATGCTCTCTATGACTTTAATATAATATTTATATATCTCAACGGTACAATTGTGCTTACTGAACCCACGGTTAGTGGTGGGGGGTGGCCCCCACCTCATACTACAGGAGAGCAAACCCTTCTAGGTCCTGCACCCCGCATCTCTGCCCAGGGGCTGTGATACGGACCCTCAGGGCCATGCGTGTGGGCTGTGGCATGACAGGAACATCACCAGTGAGCAGCCTTAAGGATGGACATGTGTTTTCCCCCAGTGTAGGCATCTGTTGTGCTTACCTGGGCCATGGGCACCAGGGGAAGTCTCTCCCTGTGGGCTCTGGGGGGAAGGCCCCTGTCCGGACCACTGGAGGGGAACAGCCTGGGAGTCACTGGGCTTGAAGACTGGCTTGCCTGAGGGCCTTCAGGCCGGCTTCATCCCCTACCCGACTAGTCTGTCTCAAGAGATTGGTTTGAGACACACCCACCATTCCAAGGACTCCTTAACGCAACAGAGAAAGCCCTGTTCCTAATAGGACACCACCCTCTACCCTATACCAGCGGTTCTCCACCTTCCTCATGCTGCAACCCTTTCATACAGTTCCTCATCTTGTGGTGACCCCCAACCAAAACATTATTTTCGTTGCTACTTCATCACTGTCATTTTGCTACTGTTATGAATCAGGGGACCCCTGTGAAAGGGTCATTCAACCCCCCAAAGGGGTCGACACACACAGGTTGAGAACCACTGCCCTATACAGTTCCTTGGTGTCCTAGAGGGAAGACAGGAGCCCCAGGGGGCACCGTGGTTTTCCCAAGGTCAGCAGTTTGACACCACCAGGCGCTGTGGCGGAGAAAGAGGGGGCTTTCTGCTCTTGTCCCCAGGGACAGTCCCAAGAGGAAGCCCACAGGAGCAGCTCTACCCGGCCCTATAGGGCTGCTGTCAGTCGGCATCGGCTCGCCGGCAGGGAGCGTGAAGATGTATTCTCTGTGAAGGTAATGTTAGATTGTATTTTTGTTAGATTGTATTTTCGTTTGTATCTGCCTAACCTTGCGCCATGACAGGCTTCTAAAAGCCCAAAACCGAGTATGTAGGCCTAAGTTTCAGTTTCAAGTTCCTGGTCACTGATGCAACCCGGTCGGATGAGACATCGCCTGTTCCAAACTGACCAATGAAACCCATCGCCTGACCTGGGCAGACCAATCAAATTCAAACTGCAGCCCGCCACCGCCTGACCAATCCGGGAAGCACAAGCAGACCGGCCTACCAACCATCGCTGGACATCGCTGGCACC